TAAAGTCGTTATTTTAGTTTTCTTTGCGCACAAAAAGTATTCTCGTTGCTTCGTATAATTATGGTTGAACCCCTGATGGCACATGGACTATTTTAACAATCTCCTTGCTACGTTTCTGGACCTTGATTGTGGTAATTACATTGCTGTCTATGCAGGGTCAGAGCTCTCAGATTTCATCAAAAATATCTTAATTTGTGTTCCGAAGATGAACGAAGGTGTTACGGGTTTGGAACGACATGAGGGTGAGTAATTAATGACAGAATTTTCATTTTTGGGTGAACTGTCCCTTTAACAGGTTGGAAAAGATTCAAGTTTCAAGAGTTTAATGTCATATGTACAGGAAACAGTCTGTTACACCATACAATATAAAAGGTCAATGAGTATCTTCTGAAGCCACTTCAGGAGCCTGGCAGAAACTGTAATGTACCTTGGCACATCCGCGTCCCTTGGAGCTGGTATCCATCAGGACACACGCACTGGTATCCGCCGGGCTGATTCACGCATTGGAACTGGCAGATGTAGTTTGAGAATTCACACTCGTTGATATCTGGAAAACACGAATGAGAATGAAACTCACAGAATGACATAGTATTGCTCATTACTGTGGTTCCTGTCAATTTAATGTTTGTGGACCTAATCTTGATTACTACAGATAAAAATTACATATTTTTATTCTACACTATACTAACATAGGACAACCAGAAAGTGTCCACATGCTTTAAGTCCTCATCTAAAACAGTATATCAATAGTCATTTACAACAGGGATGATGACTATAACTATACATTTTCCATAATATTCTAATCCTAACAGCAAAGTCCAAGCCACAATGATGACAACAATGAGGAACAATCTTGTTAAAGTCACTTTCAGAATAATTTATTTCCAGCTGATGAGCAATAAACATTGACAGCCAATCAGAATCCAACTGACTTTAAAGGGCTTGAGCATTTAAAGTGGCAGATGACTAAATGTTATCAGAAAGTTATCGTCCTTTGGTTTGGACTAGTTATCATTCTTGGTGTAAACTCTTGGTAGTAAGGTTTTTGTTTTGTTTTTTGATTGAAAAAGTGCTCCTGGTATCTTCCTTTTAAACAAATGCCACTTAATTTAATATTTTTAATCATCAAATGCAAAGACATTGAGATGTTTTTAAGAGTGGCTTAAGTGTGCAAATACTTTTAGAGCTAAGTAGCTTGTAAAAGACCATTTAAATAGCCAACGTCGGTTTAAATAGCCTATCAAAGTACCTCACTTAATGTCTTTTATATAACCAAATATACACATTATATAATTAAACCTACATCAAGTGTAATGTTTCTCTTTGTTTCAGTTTGCCTAAGGATAGCATGCTAACAGATTAGCCTCCTAAGATAATAGCCTGCCATTGGAAAGCATGCAATATGCATGTTACTAGAAGTAATCAAAACAAACCTTCATAGAGTTTACTTTATATCATAATACCTATATATATATATTTTATTTATGAATTATATAACAATGCTAATTTGTCCAAGGCCCATTAGGATATTTTTATAATCAGCATAATATCCACACACATGGCAAAAAAACAAAACAAACATTGTACCATTATCGCCTTGAAATACTGTTTGATTATGATTAACTTTTTGTAGATGTTAGCTGTCAATACTTTATTTGTTTACATACACATCAAAATTATTGTTGATGAAATTTGATACTATGTTTAAAATATCCAGGAATATTCAAATTATATTATGTACTTTCAAAAACCTCAAAGGTTATACTTTTTAAAATACATTAACAAAGTGTAAAAAAAAAAAAAAAAAAAAACCTTGTAGAGAGTTTACTTTATATCATAATACCTATATATATATTTTATTTATGAATTATATAACAATGCTCATTTGTCCAAGGCCCATTAGGATATTTTTATAATCAGCATAATATCCACACACATGGCAAAAAAACAAAACAAACATTGTACCATTATCGCCTTGAAATACTGTTTGATTATGATTAACTTTTTGTAGATGTTAGCTGTCAATACTTTATTTGTTTACATACACATCAAAATTATTGTTGATGAAATTTGATACTATGTTTAAAATATCCAGGAATATTCAAATTATATTATGTACTTTCAAAAACCTCAAAGGTTATACTTTTTAAAATACATTAACAAAGTGTAAAAGGAGTAATAAACAAAATAACTGGACATTGCCAATTGCCCATTTCATTCAGTCCCTTAAATATAACACTAATAATGGCACTTATTTAAAACAGCATGTAGGATATCCAAAACACACATCGTTTCTGCACTCCTAATCATTCTTTGGTATGTCTGGCGAGCTTTCCAGCTTCGTTCTGGAGCACAGAAAGTGTCCTTTCACGCTGTGCGGGCCATCGTGGGTGGTCTGCGCTTATCTGCCAGGTTTGGTCAAGTAACTGTATACAAAGGCTTAAGAATAAGCCAGTTTTCTGTGATTCATATACAGACTATTGGATGTGCAAGTGCAAAACCTCCTCATCCAAACAAGGCAGATTCGTCCTAGGCTCCTAAGTGACCTATTTGAGGTATTAATGGGAGAATAATGTCAACGCACAGATCCGAAGACCCCCGGGAGGCCTCTTGCCGAGTGTTTCCAAAGCTTTGCTGACCAGCGTTTGGGCCCTTTCAGGGGGTTCAGCGCTGCTGATAGCCAATCTGGCCGGAAAAAATGAGGCAAGGCCTCACGCGCAATAGTTCAGATGCTTTTTTTCTTGCGCACCTCTTTGAGAGAGACACACCTGGAGTCTGTGATCACCCACATGACCGTGATTTGATTCCAGCAAACTGGTGTTAGATTCCAGAGGAAACACTGCCAAGGCACTTCTGAAAGAGACTGGCCGAAAATATGTAAACATTGCAGGAAGGCTGACTCTCTTTTGCGGGAAGAGGCCCGAGCTAATTGTTGACTCATTTTAATGGGCTGAGAGATACATGTCCTGACCCATACTTCCTCAAACAAAACCACATAAACTCTGGTAGCTGTATGATAACTGAAAGCATAGTCGCTGAAGGGCCATTTGACCCAAGGTTAGTCTCCAAGAGCATGTGCGCGAACCGACCAACAGTCCATTTACTGAATGTCTGAAGAATATTGCACACAACAATGGCTTAAATCAAAATACAATGGTTTGCACTACACACTTGTTTGCCTGGAGACAAAGTTTATGGATACCAGGTTGATGCATGATGAGTACTTTTGATTAAACAAAAAAATTGTGAGGTTAATGGCATTATTTTTTACAATTTATTTAATAATAATGATGATGACGATGATGATTAAAATAATAATTATATATATGAAATTCTTAAATTATATATTAATACAATATATTTTATTTATTGATTGATTGATTGATTTTAATTTTTAACAAAACTGCTTTAATGCTTATTAACATTTTTTAAAAAGTCATGTGGTGCATCCAGTGTGCACAAGCTATCAAAGAGAGGACAAGGTCAATAAGTATTTTAAAATATCATAAGACCTTTTTGACAGTGTTCAGGTGGTTAAATGTCATGTGGTGCAACTTGCCAAAAATTCATAATATTAGTGTTATATGCATTAAATATAGTTAGTGGCAAGTTTCTTTTTCCAAGACAAAAACAAAAAAATCTTAAATGAATAATGAATAAAATTAATATATTTTTTATTTTATTTATTTCTCATGAGAAAAAAAAAACTGCTTCAGTTTGGAAAACTTTAGCGACTGAATAAAGAGTTATGTGGTGCGACCGACATACACACGCAGAAAAAAAAAACATAAAATAGGAAATTATATGAGGCAAGGTCAGTTCAGATTGTAAAATGTCATGTGGTGCGACCCCCAAAATTTAAGAATTAATCATTCTTTATGTGTAAAAATAGTTTTTACTATCTATTTATAAAAGCGTATGTGAAAATAATTACTAAGACATGTACACTCACATGAACTCATATATATATTATTACATTTTGATGGTTAAACTGAATGACATTTAAATGGAAACATGAAACTGGTATTAAAGCTGCAGCAGCTATGTTTTGCTCCTTAATGTTATGATTCACCAGCAAGACCAAAACCAAACCAATGCTAACCAGTAAAACCCAACTTGACCTAGTATTAAAATAGACACGGATCTTTCCTGAGCCTTTTAGCAGCAGTGGAATCCGTTATCAAGTATTACAGCAAACGTAATCAGTGCAAATGAGTGCTCGTAGTATCTAATAAAATGATTTAAGATTGGGAAACAAATGTATTATTCTTGTTGGAAAGGTCAGTTCAGATTGTAAAATGTCATGTGGTGCGACCCACAAAATTTAAGAATTAATAATTCTTTATGTGTAAAAATAGTTTTTACTATCTATTTATAAAACCGTATGTGAAAATAATTACTAAGACATGTACACTCACATGAACTCATATATATATTATTACATTTTGATGGTTAAACTGAATGACATTTAAATGGAAACATGAAACTGGTATTAAAGCTGCAGCAGCTATGTTTTGCTCCTTAATGTTATGATTCACCAGCAAGACCAAAACCAAACCAATGCTAACCAGTAAAACCCAACTTGACCTAGTATTAAAATAGACACGGATCTTTCCTGAGCCTTTTAGCAGCAGTGGAATCCGTTATCAAGTATTACAGCAAACGTAATCAGTGCAAATGAGTGCTCGTAGTATCTAATAAAATGATTTAAGATTGGGAAACAAATGTATTATTCTTGTTGGATGACATGTTAGTTGGCATGTCTTTGCAATTCTTGTCTTTCAGTCTCATCGTGAATGGTTTATGCAATCTAAATTGTTTGCTTCTAGCACAGGGATTCTGCGTGCTGTAACATGACTGAGCCCTCTATCACGTTGGGAAAGAATTAGCACCATTAGCACACACACACAAATTGTTTTATTCACCAGATAGAAGAAGACAGACCCAGAGGAAGCAGATTTCTGGCACTGCATCCTCTGAACAGACACAACGACTTCCCAAAGAATGACATAATAACTTCCCAAGGGGTTCCCTTCCCATTCTGCACAGAGAGATCATCTTCCGTCCAGTATCTTAAACATGGCCTCTCAGTATTAACTGTAGACAAAATTAATATTTTTCCAACAACATTTATATCGCTAATATTTTAGGTGCTGGAAGCCTAAAAGCTGTAAGCTAAAAAGCTCATTTACATTTTCGCTACTAAGGAACTGTAGGCCACAAAATGTTGAGTGTATCATCTACACACAAACTAAACTTCGCATTCCACTCATTCTTGTGAATAGTGTGTACGAATCAGCATTCATAATTATTCTCCCATGGCCTTATGGGATAGAAGAGTGTCCATCAGATGTGCCATCAAAAATCTTGGCGGAAGTAGTAAACCATCTAGGTTATTTTGAAAATACTGTTTCATGAATACTAAGGATTTTGACATACTACTATTTTGGCATTCTGTACATCTATAGTCTATAAGTATGCGGTTTTGTACCAATTAACCAAACACGCAATCAAATTTACGTGAAAATCAAATTTGATCCAGGGCTG